GGGACTGTGGAGTGCTTCGAGCACTTTGCATGGGATGTGATCAGAGAGTGCCCATATTATTAATGCTCAGCCCAAGTACTCTTTATGCTTATTGCACTCACATGCTTATTTTATCTGATCTTAACAGCCCTTTGAGGTACAAAAGTATTATTACCCCCCCCCCCCAATTTTCCCATGAGAAAATGGAGGCTTAGAGAGGTGACAAGTCCTTCCCAGGGCCCTAAAGCTAGGAAGGGGCAGGAGTGAGCGCAAGTCCCCTGGCCTAACCCTTGAGGATGCCTGGAACTAGATAGCCAAGGCATAGTACAAAGGAAGGCCACATCACACGTTCAACTAGAGAGCCCGGGCCCGGCAACGGGGCTAGCAAGTGTTAAAGGGGCCGCCACTACTCAGATCCAGCCCAAATTGTAAGATTTCTCCAACTTTTCCAGAAATCTTTACATTTGCAAACATTGACAATCACTGCAATGTTAAAACGCAGATCCTTTTGAGTTAACCCTTTGTGGGCCCCAACCAAACACATCTGCGGGATGGATTCAGCCCATAGTCCCTGGCAGAAAATAAGTGTTCGTGAAAATAGGAAAACTGTCCCCAAGAGTCTTAACTCTGCACTCCCCACACTTCCTGCCATGTTAGAAAGATGGTTTCTACCTGGTCCTATGACCCTGGAATTCTTCTTGCGCTATCTGAATTTTCCTCTTGTGTCTCGCCACATACATGGTTTCTGCCTTGTTAAGGAGCCTAGGGGCCCAGCATTCAATGAGCATTTGTAGGTACAGGGTGCATCACTGATAGGCACTCCCAACAACCCTAGGAGATAGGAATTGTACCCCTTTAAGAAATGAGAGGACAGGCAGGAGCTGGAGTAATACCCCAGTAACTGAAGGCAAGATCAGAGGGTAAGTGGAAACCTGTTTTTTGTTTTGCCTGCTCTTTTCTAACAGCCATGAGGGGTGTGTTTACTCATGAGCATTGGCTTCACTCCAGTAATTCAGTTCCTGGCCAGGCCAGTGGCTTGTGATGCAGATCCTGGGGCTGCCTAGTGTCTTCCTTCCAGAGTGTGATATTCTTCCCACCTCTTCCCTTCTCTCCCTGCTTCAGGTCTCTGGACAAAGATTAAAATGTCCATATTTCCCTAAGGGGACATTCTATTCCTAGGAATTTCTAGGACCCTGGGAATTCAGCTTTAAAACCAATGCAAATTATCTGAATAGCTAACTGCTCTATATGTTTATTCAAATCTGTTAGCCACATGCAAAAATGAAAACAAGGCTACTGGAGGTCTGCACAGGCATGCACAGGCTTTGGCCTTTCCGAAAGGCTCAAGATCTCCAGATGCTGACCTCAGTCCTGGCCTGGGAGCAGCAGCAAGAACATTCTTGCTTAACTTGCAGACTGGGAGAGGAGTTGGGGTCAGGAGGGGTGGTGGGGAGAGGGGACTGTCCTCCAGGGCATTAGACAGATAAGCAGGTACCTTCTGCGCCAGAACAGGTATTGCACAAACACGAGGCAATCGGCAAGCTCGTAACTCCAGGTCTTGGAGCGTCAAGGTCACCCTTGATCAAGAACCACATCGTGCACTGTTCGGTGATGACCGGAGTGTTTGTGAATCAAAACCGTTGGCACTGCATCCTTTGGGTGGTACCGTGGGAAGTGTGGCTTCTGGGGTGAAAAGGCTTACAAACGAGGTTAGCTCGGAGCAAGTTTTTCTTACCCCGAGTTGTCTCATCTATGAAACAAGGATAAAATCGTGATACACCTTTTGGAATTAGAGCCGGGCTTCATGGACTAGTGCGTATGAAAGCGCCGTGTGCAGTCTGCAGTTGCATACAAAGAGCAGGTATTGTTTGCCTTGGAAGCTATTCCTGGAGTAAGAATAAAGCGTGCTTTTCATCCACCTAGCAGCACAAACAAACAGCTAGATATCCTTGCCATGAAGGGGAGACCAAAGAAAACCCTCTGAAGGTGCAGAGGTGTTTGTTTCCCAGCCTCCTGCTCTGAGGCGGCTCGGGCCCAGCTGTTGAGATGCGAAGCAGCAGCTGCAGCTTGGGAGGAAATCCTCTGCGGGCCCTCCAACCCCCGACGCAGCCCCCCTCCCCCCCTCTTCGAGATTTCACAGCCGTGGCCCTCCTTGCAAGACAAGAGGCAACTCGGCTTCTTACTAAGCTGAAACAATGTAATTTTGATCTAGATTTCTCCACAGGAAGCTGATATAAGATTTTATTCTTGGAAAAGAGAAATTATGTTTGAGTTGGGAGCCAGAGAGAGGATGGCAGGGCAGAAGGGGATGGCAGGCTGCCTGAGCAGGGGAGAAGCTGTCTGATGTCTGGGGAGGCTGTCTGGGAGCGGGTAGGTCAGAAGACAGACTGCAAGATGGGGGAGAGCTGCACGGAGCCATGCTGGCAGGTGTGCATTGTGAATTGCTGGCTGTTTTTTAATCGCGACTATAACAGAGCCAGGAAGTAAGAAAGTCCTTCATGTACTAGATGCAAAGTTTCTGGCCAGTGTTCGAGGGGCCTACCCAAGCGTTTTATAAATAGAACCTGACTGCGGACTATTTGCTTATGGCCATGCGGGTGGGAGCAAAATGACTGATCCGGTCCTGATGCGTGTGAACTGTTCTGCTGTTACAGGAAAGCTTGCTCAGGCCCTGGAAACCTTAGCCCCGGAGGTTGCGAAGAGGAGGAGAATGCTTGGCGCTAGTCTCATGCAAGGGGAACATTTAGAAAATCCTTAGGGTGCAGCCTGGAAACCACAGGCCGTCAGAAAGGGTGTCGTGTTCGCTTTTCGGAGGCTGGGGGGGCCGGTGCTCAGAATCGGGGCCAGCTGGCAGGGAAGCCCAGGGTAACATGCCACAGGGAACAAAATAGGGAAGCAGCATGCTGTGAACCAGGGCACTTCATACTTTTCACAGCGAGCCTGCCTGCTGCCTGGGTCCCATTTCAAAGACTGTTCATAAGCTCTCGTGCCTGGGAGCACAGGAATGGGCTGGGCCAGGCCAGTGGGTGTGAGCAAAATCCCCGGAAGGACCTCCTCGGCCTGCCAGGGTGGGGTGGGACAACTGAAGAATCTGAGGAAGAGGCAGCTGGTCAGGGAGTGGATTGAAACGAGGTCACCCGAAGCCACCAGCCCCGCCCCAGCATTCCTCCTCCCGGCTTCTGCACTGCTAGAGGTCCCTTATTGCAGGGGGTTCCTCTGTGGGATGTCACCCACCATTCCGTTCTGTCCTGACACTGACGTGCAGCAGAACTGCCTACGGATGCTATCAAAAGGAGGACTGATGCCCATAGACCACCCAGACCTCGTCAGTCCAAACTCTTGCAGCTCACTGACCAGGGAAGGCAGACAGGTACACAGGAAATTTCAGTTCGCTGTGGTGGCTGTGACCCCGGAGGAGAAACATAATAGCAGCTGCTGTTCATAGAATGCCTTGGTCCTATGCTAAACACTACGTGTGGGTCAGCAAATTAAACCCTCACAAATAATTGCATCCTTATATTACAAGTGAGAAAACTTGGGCTCTCGGAGGCTAACCCGTTTCAGGAACCAGTTTCGTCCAGCTAGTGTGAGGCAGAGGCAGGGTCCAAACCCAGGAATGTGACACTTGCTGATTAGGCTGGATTTTCAGAGTTTTGCACAGTTTTATTGGCGCATTGGACCCAAGGCTGCCTGTGATCTCAGAGGGCAGAAGCCCTGCCCAAGGCCTTGAACTCAGCCCCTGGGAGCATTCTAAGCGTGGAACGCGGGTGGACACGGTGGAGCCCACAGGTCACCTGGGTTTTGCAGCCTTGTCTGGTCTACACCTTTATGGCAGGCATGCCTTGTGCAGCTGCGGCCCCTCCACACCGTTGAGACAACCTGGCTTTGCTGCTGGGGCCACAGCGCCCTAAGACTGCTCAGCCCTCGCGCAGCACCGAGGCGGCACACCTACCGTCATCCACCTGCTCCTATGAGTCATACAGCCGCCGCCCGGCTGCCAGGCCTGCCAGCCCTGCATTTCCCTGCAGATGCCACTGGGCCCAGAGAGAACTTAGCCATATATGGCACAGCTCCAGCCGGCCCTCCCCTTAGCATATACGCCTGGACAACCGGATGGGTTGAAGCTCAAGGTCCAGGAGGTTCCCTTTGATTGTCACTGGGTGGCTGGGCAAAGGGAGGAAGAGGCAGACTAGAATCCAAGGGCCGAGGCCCGAGAGGAGAGTCAGCCCGGGAACATGGAGTGGGTGCAGGATTAGCAAGTGCCCGGGCTGCCAGGATGAGCCCGAGAGGTCAAAGGAGGGAATGATTAAGTTTCACTAAATATGTCAGACTGTTCACTTTATCCCACTTGCCATTTGCCATGGATCTGTCTGTCCCTGAGAGTCTTCCAGCTGAGAGGTCCCTACGTTTTCTGGGATAAAGACATCCTTATCGGCCTAGCCAATAGTCTCCCAAGTGTTGCAAATCCTGGGAGCACCTAAGACTGCACCGTTTGTGCAGAGTTCTCCAGGGGCACTGTCTTTTACCCAACTATGACACGGATGCAAGTTCTGGCAACAGAAAATGGCAAGAGAGCCAGAGTGAAGTGAAACCAAGCCTTCTATCAAAGCACACGGCAGTAGTACTAATTGCACATGAAATGTGGTTCAGGTTGCACATGATCGTGTCTGCTGGGACCTCTCTACCCACTGCAAATGTTTATGTTTGTTCCCCTTTAGAAAACTCTAGAACAGGCTACTTTATGCTGTCTATGGGGTGCATGGATTGAACTACTACTAGTACTGGGTTTCTACAGACCAAAGGTTTATAAAGGTGCTCAAATGGGTAGCAAGCTTAGACACCCAGGCCACCACTCACTGCCGAGGGGTATTTCATTGGAGATGTTTACTGGGAAAACACACCCTTCCCCCCTCAGGTAACACAAAGCATTAAAAATGTTTAATCAACATAAAGATGATTGTTATTCAACTTTTAAAAAAAAAAAAAACTCTTCGGCTTTCAGGTAAAAACAATAATTGAAGATGTCAAGCAAAACAGCAAGCACCAACAACATCACCCAGGCAAGGAGAACTGTGCAGCAGTTAAGACTAGAAGCTTCCATCGAGAGAATAAAGGTAAGATGATTGGATGGGATGCGTTTTCTGAAGGCCGGGCCACTTCAGAGAAGGTGATGCTGCTTCATGCAGCTTGGTGCTGGGATGTTCCTAGAGCAGAGGTCGGCAAACTGCTCTTTGTCCCCGAGTGTGGTCTTCCACAAAATACCACGTGCGCGCGCGCACGTACAGTGCGATGGAAACCTCGTGGCCCATGCGCAGAAGTCGGTTTTCGGCTCTCAGAAGAAATTTCAGTCGTTATACTGTTGATGTTTGGCTCTGTTGACTAATGAGTTTGCCGACCACTAGAGCAAGCTGCAAGCCGTAGACTCTTCATTTCTACCAAGCACAGGCCTCATTTCAAAAGCATCGGGGAGCCAGAGTGTCCGAGTTAGCCTCAGAAAACCCAAAACCTGTGGCAGCATTTCCAGAGGGCCTACCTTCCCTGAGCCAAACAGTCAGGCCCTGGGATTGCTGGGTTTTATGTTGGCACAGGGATTCCTCGTCATCCCCCTGGAATTAAATCTTGATTTCCCAGAGCAGCTGAGGCAGGCCTGCATTGCAAGTCAGCAATCGGGGCCTCTTTTAGGAGAATGCAGCTTTCTGTGTGTGGGCTTAAATGGCCATGCTCTGCACCTGGGTGAACCATGCCAGCCCTAGTAGAAACGGGAAGGTATGTGCTGTGCTAGTCACCTGCCTTAGGAGTCCCCTCACCTCCCCCCCCCCAAAAAAAAAAAAAAATCCCAAGAAAGGACTCAACCCGGTGAGTGCCCTGGAATGCTGTGAGTAATGCTGTTTCCTAGAAACTGAAATGGTCACCTGATAAATTCCTCTGGGCCTGGAGATAGTCACCTGTCTTTAAAACACGAGGCCTGCTGTGCTGCAGTTGACAGGGTTCAGCTGAGGACACCGGTCTGAACATTCGCAGGGATCTCCCACCGGCCTCTGGAAAACTGTGCCTGGCGTTTTCCATTTTTAACTCAAGCCAGAGCGAGGTCCTGCCTCTCCCCATACTGGCTTTGTCTCTTTTATTACTTTCCCAAGCCCAATCAGTAAATCTTGAAACTCCAGTAGTGTTTGGCTCTAAACCCATAATTTGTTTTTTTAACTGTGTTCTGCATCCTAATCGATTTGGGAGATGGGGAGGGGAAAGATAGAAACTTAGATACAACCTTCCATAGATTCTTTTTCTTACCGCCCCCCCCTCCACTCCCAACTTTTTGAGAAATGTCAAATCTATGGAAGAGTTGTAATAGCAAACACCCATGTACTCTTTATCAGGATACATCCATTGTTAGCATTTTGCACCCCCCCTTTTTCTGTCCCTGCACACACATATTCACAAAGTACATGTAATTTTTTTTCTTTGAACCACTTAAAATTTATTGGCAGACATCCTGACTCATCACCCCTAACTACTTCACCCAAGTACAAGAGCATTCTCCTGCATGCCTGCGGTACAGTGGTAACACTCAGGATCCGCTGAGAATATACTAGTGTTATCTAACACACAGTTCATTCATGAAGAATCCAGGCCACTCTCTCTGTCTGCCGAGTGACCCTCATTCCAGATGGAATTGTTCGCTTGGTGATTAGATTCCAGTTAAATGATTTGGCAGAACACTAGCTAGCTGGTGATGTGTTCACAGTAGGAGATAGATGATGTCCATTTTATCCCTTGATTAAGGAAGGCCTTATATGCCAGATTTCTCCATGTAAATGTACCTTTCCCCCTTTTAACAAGGAATCTGCGACTGACATTGTTCGCTAACAGTATTCCACCTAATGCATGAGCCTTCAAACACTCTCTCTTCCCCTCCCCTTCCCCCCCCCCCCCCCCGCCCCGTTTGTAAATAAAGCATTCCCTTTCATTCCCTTTCTTGTCTGCCTGTTAGGTATCAAAGGCATCAGCCGATCTCATGTCCTACTGTGAGGAGCATGCCAGGAATGACCCTCTGCTGATAGGGATACCAACCTCGGAAAACCCTTTCAAGGACAAGAAAACATGCATCATCTTATAGAGGAAGAGGGAACCCATTCCTCACGTCTCTTCAACAAATCAAATTATGAGCAGCTCCTTGAAGAGAATTACCTTCAGCTTATTTGGTAACCACTGCTAATAACTAAAATGTTCTTAACATGGAATAATAGACTCTGAAGTCTTTATTTTCCAAGGTGTCCTTTCTCTGAAATAACCTTTACTGATCTAAGACAAAGTAACAATCTTGTTTTCCATTTGGTAAGCATGGTGTCATATTGGGTCGCTGCTTAATGAAAGTCAGTCTGGGCCTTTTAAAAAAAAACACACACGAAGATATGCTCTCAAATATATGAATGATCCATTTATGTCAAGACCTAAATTGCCTAAGTCCCTGTCTAGATGAAAATGCCAAGAATAACTCTTAAGTCATTAAACCATTATATTACAATGTGTTCTTAATAGGGTTGCGCCAACCTGTACAGTGTATACGGATGAGGAGTGTTTTGTGTATATAGATATATATACATGTCTTTTGTATATACACATATCAAAGCTTATTTGCTTATTAAAATGTCTTTCCATACCATCAGTCCCTCAGCTCCAGAAGTTATCCCTTTATCTGAAGCTATGTGTAAGTAGAATAAGACATTCTTTTTATGTAGTTATTGTACAAAAACTAAAGGCCATCAGAAAGGTTGTATTCGTTGCCATCAAGTAATGAAGCCATCTCTTGCTGACCCTCTTCAGCTACAATCAACTGTGCCAATTAAAACTTGTAAAGTGACCTGAACACCCTTTTATAATGTGAGGTATTCGTTCCCAAGAGGCCTTTCGGGCTTCAGTGATCCTGAGTCTGGAGAAGCAGAGGACACTGGGTAGATGTGCCCAGGGCTCACGGTCTCTGGATTAGGGGTAGACACCTGACATTGCCACCCTCATGATGGGAATGGATAGGCAGAGTGCTCAGGAGCCTTGCAGAGAGAGGCACAGCAATGTTTTTGAAAACCAGCTGCTATTCCTGATCAAAATTGGTGACTTAGCTCCTCTTTTTCTCACTGCCTTGCCTTTTATCTTTCCTCTCCTGCCAGAACATCTCTTGGCAGAGGTAATGTTCACCTCCCCACCCCAGTGGGGGGAACATGGTGGGAACTGAACATACAAAAAAAACACAACAGTATTAAGACACAAGCTCTTTTCAAACATCTGCAGTGTCAGTGGCATCCCTACCTTGTCCACAAACCATCCGAGAGACGTGGGTTCAGTGGCATATGACCCAGGCCCAAGGGTTCCAGCCGCTGGGCATTGGGTTCCTTGATTTTCCTCTGGGCAAATGTAGCCCTCACAGTGTCCAGTGGGGATCCCAAAAGAAGGAATCTCCTATAACCAGAGAGTTGTTAACTTTGTCAAAGGGGAGGAGACGTTCTTTTTCTTTTATTAAATGCTCACTTAAGGGCCCAAACCATATCCTTGGCCTTTGATATTTTAATTCACCTTTAGTTCATTCAAAATAACTACTAATGAAGGATTATTAACATATTTTCAAAAAAGGATTCAACCCCAAGAAAGAATTCTTTGCAATAGATTTTTCTTAGTTCGGTGCAATCTTGCTCTACCATGCAAGCCCCTTTCAAAATTGAACGTTGGGCCAAAACCGGTTTGGCTCAGTGATAGAGCTTCGGCCTGCAGACTGAAAGGTCCCAGGTTCGATTCCGGTCAGGGGCATGTATGTTGGTTGTGGGCACATCCCCGGTAGGGGGTGTGCAGGAGGCAGCTGGTCGATGTTTCTCTCTCATTGACGTTTCTAGCTCTCTCTCTCTCCCTTCCTCTATGTAAAAAAATCAATAAAATATTTTTTTTTTAAATTGAACATCGGGGCTTGGAGTATTATGGTAATTGTGGATAAACAAATGCAGGACTATTTTTTTAAACTGCTCAAATATGTTCAGTATTTCTCCACGCCACCTACCTATCTACTCAGCATAGTAAACTTCCCTTGCTTTTCTAAGACCATGTGAATCTCTCCACTGCCTTACACCACTTTGCCATCTGGAGCCTGGCTCTGCAGCATGACCAATTCCCAAGTAAGTGATACCCACCTGTCTAGGAGGGAGAAGGGTTCACCTTTCCAACGGTGAACTTTGAAATGTACACTAAAAAGACAACTTTACATTTAATGCTTCACTTAAGGAGATATTCTTTTTTTTTTTAATAAGTACATTTTTCTGGTAGTTTTAGAACACTGTTTCTTTAAATATTTATAATACGTCTTGTTAAAGTATTTTCATGAAATTATGTTTATTATACAGGTATGTGCACAATTTTGGTAGCAGGCATAGTTTATTCTTTAATACTAAAACATGTTCTTTTACCTAACAGAAAACAAATAATATTTTGCTATATACTGTTCATATGCTTGTAAAGATAAGGAATGGAATTGAGGCCCCAGGAAATTTTATTTTTGCTGGCCAGTCATAAAGAGCCATAAGTATAATTGTCATGTATCTTCCTAACTTGGTAGAGGGCCTGTTCAAGAAAAGTAAAATCAAATTCTTCAATGCTGGACCCAAGGGGGGGAGGGGAGGAGAAATTGTAGCTAAATGCTGACTTACTTATAGCTAGATGTCTATGTGAGAAAATATAATATATGTATACATATATATGTTATGCAGAAGTCACTTTTATTTATCAGGCTTTATTCTACTTATGAAGCCACAGTTCAACTGTTCTGCAGCAGCTGGTTTATGATGATGGACAAATGCTGATAGGGACAAATGCTGATAGGAATATCAGCAGTGTGTGTTATCTTTCTGACTGCTACTATAGTGACACAATCACATATATTATATACATGCAGCTTCTTGGCTTCCCATCTATGAAGCCCTTTAAATATGTTCACTCTGCTTCATCTTTGATGCTGCTTCTGTTAACAGCAATTTTTTTTTTTATTCTTATACCTTCACTCATTCATCATAAATCTGTCCAGTTAAGGCCTCAGGATCATGTCAAGGCATGCTAGACAAAATGTCATAACTCCAAAGAATTTTCTAGAGAGAAAACATTTTATATACCAGGTGGTTCCCAAGTTATAGATTGTAAGTACTTTTTTTTTTTTTTCCTAAAAAAGAATCAGGTTTTTGTATTTCCTTACTTTTTAAAATTAAAAAAATGTGCCATCCTTATCTTTTAAAGGAAAGGCGTGATTTGCTTTCTCTTTATTTGGACTATTTTTGTACTTGACTGGTTTTTAAAAACTATCAGAAAAAGAACTGTACTGATGATTTGGAGATATAGGTTAGTTTATGTAGTGGGGGATGTGCCAAATTTTCTCTTCAGTGCCTCTTTTCAACCGATTTCCAATTACAATAGTGTTGTCTGAGTGACTCCCCCAAATTTTGATTTAAGAATGAGTAGGTCTAAGAAGTGAATTACACTACATTGTCAGTCCTTTTTCAATAAAATAAATAGAATACAGACTATGTTATGAATTGTATTGATTTCTTTTATGGTGTATCTGTTAACAGGAAAAAGTACATTAAATCCATAGAGTTATATGTATGTTAAAATAGAGCACTTACCTAAAGCTGGTGGCTTCGTTTTCTAGCCAGTCCTATGTCCCTGTGTCCCATGGCTTTGGACAAGGCACTTCATCTCCCTGGGCCGCCACTTGCCATCTGCAGAACAAGGGGCTTGTTTTAGATGGTGGCCGAGGTCCCTTCCCACCCTCAGATGCCTCGGGCCAAGGGCCCACCCCTCTACTTGTCTGCCAACGTGTTGGTGCTATAAGCTGCTTCAAATACAAAATTGGTTTGTCTATCATGTTTGCTCATTTAATAGCTTCTGAAAGGCCTTTTTTTGTCATAAGCTTTTTTTTCTCTCCCAGTTTTATGGACTTGATTGCTGTAATAATGTTTTGTTTTTAGCTGTGTTACTATAAACATACATTCTCTTGATGTCTCAGTAAAATCTGATATGTAGTTGATGGGATCTTGTTATTTTATAAAATTCTTTGGCTACTCATCTGTCCAGCATCTGATTCACCTAAACACTTTGATCATTGTTTGGAAATCTGTCCTATGGAAAGAATAAAAGCATTTGTTTCACAGCTAACATGTTCACAGATTTGAAAGACGTTTCATTAAAGCACCATTGATCTCTATCCTGGGTCAGTGTCTCATTGTATCATCCTATGCGTGTTTGGCTGAACAAATGAAAAGACCAGTCTCTTCCCCTTTTCCTTCATTCCTTCAGTTAACACTTTCTGAGCACCTGCTGAGAGCCAGGTGTTGAACGCAGACTCTGATGGCACTCAAATCAGACACACATCAGCCCATGAGAAGCTTCCAGTCTCGAGGGGGGAGGGTAGGAATCACATATATAGCGAATAATTACATCACCGTGTGAAACATGCCACATAATTCAGGGGGATGCCCAGTGCTATGAGGGCTCAGAAGAAAGAGAGCTCCATATGAGAAGGCTTATCAGGGAAGTGATGTGTGAGCTGGGTCTTCAGAGAAGAAACCCTTTAAGCATTTGAAGTCTTAGGAGGAAATGGCAGAGGAGAAATTGGAGCTCAAAAGCTAGTGTGCTGAGTGTCTCCCATACTACCTGTTTGTCCCACAAGAAACAGGAAGTCAGTGGAGGTTGTCAGGGAGTGACATAAGGATTCCCAATGTGTGGAGGGCTGTTTTCCATGTTGAGACCCAGCAGTGACCATGGCAACAGATAACAAATGGGAAGGTCATTAGACTCGCAATGACTCATAGTCACCAAGCCTTTACTGAAGGTGCCCAGCCTCCTCCTCAACTCCTTTCCCCAGGGCTGGGATTCCCACAGAGATGAAGGAAAGACAACTTGAGCACCTGGTTGTGGACTGGGCAGAGGTGGCCTCTGCTTCTGAGAACCAGTACTCACACCCTACAAAGAGTTGGAGCAAGTGACAGTCACTTGATCCTTTCTAGGAAAGGATTGAAGAATTTAGACACTTCCCCTATGAAAAAATAGGCAACAACTGACAAACACTTTCTCTGGCACAGGCCCAAC